GTATATTTCCAACTTTCATCTTCTTACATTTTTCTATAGCCTAGTCCTACTGCTTTTCCGACAATTTACACCTAACACATTCTCATCTGAGTTTTCAAGAAAGCATGCAATGATCATGCCATTATGCTGATGTCAATCAGCTGATGGCCAACAAGCTAACCACCACCACTAATTTCATCTTCATGTACTCACAACTTTCTTGTTATGACAAGCCATGCTCTTTGGACGAAAGTTTCTGCCACACCACCATTCGTAATGTGCGGTTTCCTGATATCCATCGTTTTTCATTCAAAATATGCCTCTTGAATTTAATAAGTTCTCATAAGAACCCATCGATTTTCATCTATTTCCATAAGCGCCTCCTCAATTTCCACTCTGTTTTGATAAGCGCCCCGTTCGTATAAGCACCCCTCAAAAAGTGCAAAAAATATTTTAAGTGCTTATTCGTGCGAGTACGGTAAATCAAACCTTGGACACTTTAATAATTTCAATAGAACAATTATGTTTTCTCATACCATATTATAGGCCTATGCTATATCATTATATCGTAGACCACCTAACCTTCTTAATATGTTGGTAAAATCTAAATTCAAGAGGAAAATTACCTCTTGCAACAGCCATAATTTGGGCAATCATCTTTGTCGTTCATCATGCAACACATGCTCCTTGCTTGATTCTACACAATCATTCAAGAGCAACCAAAAATCACATATTCCGGATAAGGTAATCGAATAATATTGTCTGACCGAAATCTCATTTATCTCATATTGTAATCTTTGTGGTAAACAGTACCGTATGTCAGAGAAACCAAATCAATCTTCATTTGAGAATGAAAATCAAAGCCTCTAACATCAACCAGTAACTGAACATTTCATATAAGCTGGTAACTTCAATTACAAATTTCAGAGTTATTGCAATAGGCCATAATAGCTATTTGAGTAAACATCGTAAGGATTACGAAAGCCACTGGGAAAGACTACCACACCTTTTGGGCTAAATATTAGGAACGTTCTCTCAGTCACTAAATCTATTCAATGGAATTCCAAATTTAATCAATAAATCATTTAGCTTATTCATAGAGGCGTATATATATGTATATGTAGGCATATATATATATATATATATATATTTATATATATATATATATATATATATACATATATGTATATATATATATACATATATACATATGT